TATAACTGCATCAGTACAGTTTAGAACTTTCCAATACAAACCAAAGTGCACCAAGCCAGCTGTCACCGTTAAAGTGCTTCACAAGACGACCCGACATTCATTCAGCTGATTCAAAGTACCTAGACTGGGACTAGTCAGAGTCAACTGTGCCCAAAGTACGTACTAACGTAGCTGTACTTCTAACTTCCAAACCTAATATACTATTCCCAAGTACCACCGTTACATACAAGAAGGATTTAATTCCTTAACAGACTACTTCCTACGTGCGAGTTGTAGGCTGGATGACAAGAGGCACCAGGACTACAAGTGACACTGAGCACTGCAGCTAAAGGCAGCATTTCCACCTGCATCACCATTTTGTGCCAGTTCAGATCAGCTGTGTGTCAGTTTAACATGTTCAGAGATTTTAACACCATGTCCAATCACCGTAAATGAGACTTTTCAAAACTCAAACTAGAGACACTGATCGTTACAAGCAGCTCTGCACTAAGTTATGGACCCAGACATAGGTACACCTTCAAACATCCGACTGCATCCTCCTCGACACAGCAGAGCGGTAAACCGGCGACCCGCTGTGCATGGAGCAGGATCTGCTCCACCGTCACACTGAGACACAAGTGCTGACAATCAGGTCGGCGTCTTCCTCATGGCCAACCTTCAGGATAGGAACCAACAAAGCCAGCAAAAGCAGCGCCCCCTCCCCCACCTCTACACCCCTCCATGCTCCACAGCGGTACGTCAGCAAGGCCACACATGAGCTCTCTGCACCTGGGACCCGAGGGTCAGCGGGGGCCCCTGCAGACACAGCAGAAGAAGCAATGCAGACGTGCACTCATCCATAGAGAGGAGAGGACAAAAGATGAGAGGAAAAGGAGGAGGAGGAGGAGGGAGCCCAGGTAAAATCTCCTGATCCCAATCGGTCCTGCGCTACATCGGACAGGGTGGCCTGAAGGTTGCAGTAAGATAAAAGCCCAGCAAGGAGCCATAGCTGAAGGGATGGGGTCCAGGGGTCCAGGGGTCCGGCAGCAGAGGGACTGGAGCAGAAAGATGTGGATAAACTGCACCCCTTACATAACTAGCTGCTGCAGCTGTGAAGGGAGGGGTGGGCAGAGCTTTGGAGCTCATCAACTTTGCAGCAACGCTGGAAACCTAATTAGTTTGCTTCTCCTTGCCCTGGATGCCAGTGAGGGAGCAGCGCCCCGAGCCTCATTCGCCCCGATCGAGCAAAAGAAAACACGCAGACATCGCAAGGCGTCCGGCGTTCCTCTGATGGCCGATATGTGTGGAGAATTCAGCCCCTTCTCCCCGCACAAGCGACAAATTAAAAATGAATCGAGTCATTAATAAATTAGAGCGCTTACCAAAGTGCCCCCCGCTGTCGGCCCCATGCCCTGCCAGCGTGCCAGCCTGCCAAGACCGGGCGCGTTACTCACTTGCACCGCAGGCCACTGGCGAGCTTCGCCACGGCGCTGTTCAGCGAGACGATCCAGTCGAGCAGCCACATGGCACCGCGACCGGGCCCTGACGATACGCTCCGCGCGGCTCGGTAACCGCTGCCAACTCCACGGCGGCTCAGCACGACTGAAGTGGCGAGGGAGCGCGGCGGCGGCAGGCGGGAGAGGGAGGGAGGGAGCGGGGGATGAGAGAGTGTGTGTGTGTGGGGTGGGGCGTGTGCAGGATGAGTACGATCGCAGGAAAGCTGAGGTCGTAAAAAAGAGCAGGAGGAGTCGCAGATGCGGAACAGAATCGAGACGGAAACGAGGATTCCAGCGCAGAACTGATCATCAACCGGAACAAATCGGAATTACAGGATTTCACGCGTGTAAGCAGGGCGCCGCGTGTGGGTGGATTCATCACGTAAAAGGAGAGACTTCAGGCAGGATAGGTGACCACGCTGGCTTCCGGAGAGTGAACAGGAGGCCGCGTTTATTGGCCAAGATCCGGGGAAAGCCCCTAGGGAATGAGAGACAGCTGGGGGGGGGAATAAGGAAACCAAATGCCTGTATATCTGCACAAACACAGTCATAAACAGAGTGCCACAAACATCAGGGGGATGGGCAAACGACCTCTGCCCAAGGTAACACTCACATAGGCCAGCACACACATAGGCTTACACTATGCATCTATAAACACAAATGCCCAGAAACACATACATAGCTAAACCTTATTCTTTCCCCACTGGTTGTACACACACCCCCCTCTAAAAAAACTCAATTGAGGGTGACCAGGCTTGGAAATCTTCAGAGAGGCATGCCAGGTCCATCTGTATCTCACCCTTTAGCAGTCTGAATTGCGCTGCAAGTTAAACCACAGACTTCATAGGAGCTACAAGATGTTCAGCAAAACAGGATGGAAGAAGTCCGCTGGTGGTACAGGAGCACAAGCAAAACATGCATGCTAGTATTTCCACTTAGAACTTGAGGGAATAATACCTTTGAATAAATGCTAATAATAATGCGACAATAACTACTTCAGCATTCTTCTACCTCAGGGGTGGGCAATCTAATCCGCAAAGGGCCGGTGTGTATGCAGGTTTTTGTTAAAACTCCCTAATTAGATTACTAATTAGAGGACTGACTAGCTTAAGAGTCCTCACACCTGGGTTTGAACAGCTGATTTACAGGTTATCCCAAAAACCTACATACACACCGGCCCTTTGCGGATAAGATTGCCCACCCCTGTTCGACAGCAACAGGTTAGCTTTGCCACTGGGTGGCAGGGGGAACGCAAAAGTAACTGAAGAATGGGGAACACATATAGTGGCAGAAGCAGTCCCACCACAAGCTATACAGTAAAACCTACTATACAGCAGAATAAAATTAAAGTCAAGAGGCCTTTACTTTCATACTATCCATATGAGCAGTGTTTCCAAACCCGGTCCTCGGGAAGCCACAGATGGTCCGCATTTTTGCTCCCTCCCAGGCAGACCACATTTTTGCTCCCTACCAAACAGTCCAAGTTCTTGCTACCTGCCTACCGGGACCTGGGAGGGACCAAAACCATGGGCTGTCTGCAGGTCCCCGAGAGCCTGACTGTAAGCAGCCCTAGCACCTGAAGTCCAGAGTAGGTAATCCACCTAAAGCTAAGCAGGTTTGGGCCAGTACTTGGATGGGACACCAACTAGGAAAGCTGGGTTGCTGCTGGAAGAAGTCTTGGTGTGATCAAGAGGCTAGCCCATCCTGTGGACTGTGAGGATCCCAGTGCAGTGATGGGGACACTGTGGCCAACAGGGGAGCCCATCCTGTGGACTGTGAGGATCCCAGTGCAGTGATGGGGACACTGTGCTGTAAAAATGGTGCCGTCCTTCAGATGAGATGTAACAACAAGGTCCTGATTCGCAGATGTCATACAAGATCTCTGGATTTCCTTACCCCGATGTCCTAATTAAACTGCTCACTGTGGCCCAATCAAATCTGGAATACTAATCATATGCTATATCTAATTGGTAAATTCTCTCCTGCCCATTCACCACCTTAGCTACTGTGTGGTGGGTGTACTGGTGCAGAATGGCTGCCGGTGCATCATCCAGGTGGAGGCTACACAGTGGTGGTTGAAGTGGTTCCCAGGCTGACGGTATGATATGCAACAACGTTAATAGGGGAAGAGTTTTCCCAGCAGTCAAATACAGGAGGGCTGATCACAGGGGTATATACAGTCATCCACTGACTTATGTCCAATCGAACCGTGCGCGATCACATTTACGTTCGAGGTCCCTTAGGAGCCTCGATGACATTCATTGAGCGATGTCCGAGGCAGACATTTACCATAGCAGACGCATTTTACCACGTCTGGCGTGCAGCAAGAACCAAAACAACCCGACTTCACTGCCACTATAGATGTTTAGCTAAATGTGCGTGATATTGAATCTTACATTGTACACTCCCCTACAATGATCGAAATATGTGCTGACTGACTTACATCCTCACTTCTGGAACGTAACCTGGACGCAAGTCAATGGATTGCAGTGTGCATAGTGCAATGTGTATATAAACAATTAATAATACAGCAGCATAATAGTGTGGAATAAATATAGAGGAACTGAAGAGATAATACACATTCACATGCTTATAGTTTCACATTTGGGAACTATGTACCTGAAATAAGTATGTGCCCAATACCCCAAACAAACAAAAGCATTTTTGCGGAAAGTGATTTAAACCTCCCAAAGATATATGCTTGTAATCAAATTTGTCAATACTACCAAGGGCAGATGCATTGATCATTAACATACAAAGGTCTACTTTTGAGGACTAGAGGAATGAATTAAATATTCAAAATAGGGGGGGGGTACACGACCCCAGGCTCCAACGCCCCTGAATAATACGTATCGCTTAAACGTCTTAACTATAAAAATTTTTAGGAAAACCATTGTAACTACCACGCCTGACAAGTAAGTGGAGAAACGGGGGAGGTGCTGGGGAAGCGGTCCCCGATCACGGCGGGAGCCCTTTGGGGAAATGACACGGAGCCGTGATCCCGAATAACCCGACCGAGAAAGCAGCTCCCGAGACTCAGCGCAGCTCGGCGACTTACCGTCCATTATCTAAACATTACGTACTAATTAACGCGACCCAGAGGCACGTATTTAGATGTCTGACAGCCCGGCACACACTGCACACGAAACGACAGACAAATACTTCGGATCTGCAAAGTCAATGCTTAAAACATTTATGAAAGCTTAATCACAAAGGTTATTTACAGGCGTCGATCCGGCTATACGATCACTGTCAAACCATCGACACTTTACAGGAGCAAGATGTCGCTTCATTATACCCGCAGCAGCTCATGGTTAATAGATTAAAGATTCAAATAAGAGTTAGAAAGCGCCCGCACGTTTAGTGGGGTCAAGAGAACAAACGTGCCGACAGGACGAAGGAACTCTGATTGTAATAGTGCACTCGATTACGCTTTAAGTGATATTCGTAAACATATTCACTTCCGGCTTAACACACGTGGGATGGCCTAGTCAGAGCGGGACCCGTGCTGAGCTGCGTACTCACTTCTTGCTGGTTTTCTTCGTCTTCGTCCTTTTCTTTCGTGCCTGGATCGCAAGCACTGTCGCGACATGAAAGATCACAATATTACACGCAAAAAACTCATGTAAAGACATTCAAACGTGTACAGGAAGGAGAAATGATAAATGATAAAATGATGACTATCAAAACAGTACATCGGATTTCTTTTGCACCCCCTTTGCAAGGATGGGTAATTTACTATGCTGACACATTACACCGCGATATCACCAGGTTATTGAGTTACATTAGTATAATGCCTAGTGTCTAGTTTTAACGTGAATTTGAATTCTGGCGGGAAAACTAACTAGCGCCAATGGATTTTTGCCCTATATATTTAACATTTTGATTTTTCGTCAATTCGATCAAAGCCAGGGAACACAGTCAACCACATTCTGTACAGCTGGCATCAAAATGTAGAGCAATCTAGTTTAAAATATCACATAACTAAAGGACACGGTTTTTTTTTTTTTAAAGGGAGGGTAAAAAGCAGCACATGTAAAGGCAGAAAGAGGAGTAATATTTCTCTCTTTCGTTCCCCTTACCTTTCCTCTCCATGCTGAACCGGCCAGCGTGCAACGGCTGTTGAATGAGACCCTGTACTACGCATGCGTGCTCCGGCGAAGCCCCACAAAGCGCAACGCTGTCCCACCCCCTTCCCTTTTCCGGGCCGCCCAGAAACCGGCTTCTCGAGTCCGAACGATCTGTCGATTCAACGGGACACGGCCATGTTAATGCATGCGGCGCCACATAGTGGCCACCCTGTATAACGGCTCCAATACGTCGGCCCGAGTTATTGTTATATAATAAATAAATTAATAATAATAATAATAAAACAATAATAATAATAATAATGGTCAAGTTTAAGAAGACCCCACATTTTTGATGACTCACTGTCATCACAAGGCCTGTCAGGGCAAAAGTCCAGGACCAATTTTTAATCTCAGTCCAGCATTTACCCCAGAAAATGTATTTACACTTTCAGATTACTACTAATTCCGGGTCCTCAGCCATGTTCAATCACAGTGCAAAATTACAAAACGTATTAGGATTTTACAAATGATGTATTAGGATTTTAACCTTTAATTAATTACACATGTATGTGTGGTAATGGTTTGGTTTAGTGCTATTAAAATATTTAACGATCCACTTAATTATTCCCTAGCGTAAATACAACTAAATTTAACCTGTGAAGCCTTTTTGTCGTTTTCGGATCCTTTAGTAACACCGATTGATTTGGGGTGTCGAGAGTTTATGGCCAATTCGTATTCATATGAAAATGTTTCTAATTCATATAAGAATTAGAAAATTAATGGTAAAACATTATTGTACGACAAGACTACAGCAGAAGAAAACGGAAAGCCGAACGTCTCCCAGGTGTTCAGGGCCCTAATGGCCGGTGGCCTCTAGGGGGAGCAGTGCAGCTGCACGAGCTGTCTTCCCTAATACCGTTTCCGGATACTACCTATCAGTGCAAGGTGACGATGACAATAAACCAAGACATCTTTTTCTGACAAAGGAGATAGATATAAACGTCTATATTCATTAGAAATATTTTTACAAGTCTTAAAATACAGACGAGTTATTTCAACATTTTCACTTTTAAGTCTGGATGCCTAACATCTACAAGCGCAAGACAACTTGTTCAGTACAACTAATCATTGAACTGGGTTGGGCTGGGGTGTGCTGGTGTAATTTTTAAATATAGTTATTGCCTAGAAAAATGACATGGACAACTGCAAATTTTAGTTTTTAAAAATATGTCTTTATTTTTCTTAACAGTGCTATTTACAGGTCACTATTCTCAGTGTACAGAGGAGTTATGAATGCAAAACGTGGTCTTACCATCTCATATAATAGCAGGTTCTAACAGAGGAAGAAAAAATGTCTAGACCTGTCCATTCTCTTTAAGGCTATAAATATTGTAATTTATTTTACTGTTCATATCATATTACATTTGTGATACCATTACCGCCTCGTCTCCTGAAAACAGGCTCACACAAACACACAGGCAAAACACACAAAGACACATGCAATACAGTATTACTTGGAATCAAGTAATATCACATCATCAACACACAGCCAATAGAATAAAATGTTTTTAAAAGCTTTAACGGATACTTATGTACATCCGGAACCTATTGTCATAGTTGAGGGGCCGAATCTTGGGTGAGTGCCTTACGCTTCGACGACACGGAAACGCAACTAATCAGCTCTTTCAGAATAAAGGGCAGTGGCTCAGATTGACGAGTTTCTCAACAGCTGTACCCTGATTGTTTCCTAAATGGAGGAAGTACAACTGAGGAGAGGAACAGAATTACAGAAGTCGGCCTTCTGCTCAGACAAAGGGCAGGTGGGCTTTGCATTATGGAGGAGGAAACTTACCCAAGTCATTAATGTTCTAACTACGTAACCGTGGCTCAAAAACAATGAGGATTAAGAAAAGAAAAAAAGAAAAAAAAAAAAGCAAACTCAAGCCACAGGTGAAATGGTCATCGTGATATGATAAAAGAACCTTGGTTTAAAGTTTACTTAACCCATGTCGGAGATACAGTAATGTCCTATCATAGGGCAGACAGGACAATATAACAGGTCACAAGGGGCAAAGTGCTCCTCCCTACCACTAGGGGGTCACTGGTCAACACCAGACACAAAGTGAACACATTCATTGTGAGCTAGGCTTAACCAGGTAATGAGCGTTTTACAATATTTGTGGTAGGAGGATAAATAACTGCTCCGTAATACCTGGACTTAATACCTAAAATCCAAACTAAACAAGAAACAAAACATGATTCCCCACCCAACCAACCACCACCAATACGCATCAAGAATTCACAAGTTCAGTATGTACCTTAAATATATATGGCTTATGACCAGTGAGGCAAAAGTATCGATTTGGATTCTGAGACATGCTTTCACCACCAGAATATTTTTCCAATCCTCAATCATTGTAGCAGATTGAGGACACAAGTAATATGAGTATTGCTCCAGACAAATCCTCTTAATGTACCCTAATTAGGGAGGTGTTCCTAAATCCCATGGAACAAACAGTGGCTCTGTATACTGAATTACATTCTAATATTCAACTGATTCTGGCAGTGAAAGTGGTCATTCCAAAAGCGATGAAGTTGTAAAGCGGTATTTTTTTTTTTGCGAGTTTGAAGCGATCATCGTAATGCCCAAATAACATTGTCATTAACATCACGCCATAACACCACGCAAATTACATCACAAATCTGACTATCTTTCCATGTAAAACATGATCAGATTCACAAGCTCTCAACAGATTTAGACAAACATTATTATACATGTTATGGCGATGTGATGAAGGTATTGTGATGGCTTCCTGTCACTGGTCCCTGTCTTGAGGCAGACAGGAGCATTTTGTCCAAGGTGTGTTTGGAGCAGAATCAAGAATTTGTGGAAAGAGTTGCGTCTGCCCCAGGAACTCATGGAAGAATAAAAGAATTAATGACGACAGGCACTTGAATGTATCACCCTGAAAAGGTCCAATGAGGAACAGGCCCTCTGCCCCTGGGTGGGTGTGGAGGAATGGGGTGGGGGTGGGGCTGGGTAGGGTGGGACTGGGGTTTTCAACAACGCCCATCTGAGGAGAAATCATCTGCGGTCCTCATGCCTCCATCACGTCGTCCTCATCGAACACCGGGGGCTCAAAGCTCAATACCTCCTCGTAGGTCAACCCTGCGGGGTCAGAATGAAGGGGGAATTAAGACGACATAACGGCAACTTAATAATAAATTCTCAATATCAATCCACGTAACGTAACTTTATAATCCTGGTCGCAGGTGTTATTTCAAACCCCTGCGCAAATCTTCTAAACCAGAGAACGTCCGAATCACGAAACTCTGTGTTGACGTTAGCCTTGCTGCAAATGGACTGCCGTAACGCAGGTAAGACAAAAGCCTTTGAAACGTGTCAAGGAACGCGACTGGAACTGAGCACAGAGCCCCAGGTTCTGGTTAACATCGCTAAACCACTAAGACTGCCATAGCAAACTTCTGAATAATAAATTAAATCATCATTATGGGATCAGAGGAAAGACGCAACAAGGTTCAGTGAGTTTCAAGTAGGGCTGACATCTATCAAAATTTTTCGATAGCAGTACCAGAACCGGTTTCTGAGCAACACCTTTTTCAATACCAATATGTTCAATTTCAAGAAGAATAATCCATTAAACATTACAGCACTAATCTTTTATTAGAACAAGTTTGTTAGTTATTGGTTAGGATTGATCGCGATCATAACAGGACACAGACTTTTATTTATATTTTACCAAAGTTTCATCAAAAATTTGGAGTAAGGTAACATTTGTTAGGGGTGCAGCGTGTGTTTCATTGGTCAATGCGTGACACTTTAGAGCAGGGGTCACCAACATGGGCCCCCAAGGACCCAAGTGTGTGAAATGGTTGAAATGCGTGTGTCTCACAGTCAATGCGTGAGACTTGAGATTTTACTTATACGACCCACTACATGTTTATAATTCATAAATAAATAAATAGATCAAAAGTTTTATTTTCCACAGAATAAAAAACAATGTAACGTTATCCCGCTAATAAGCAAGTTTCACCGCCGGCGCTGGCTGGAGACGCAGTCAAAAGGTATTCAGTCTTATTGAGGTACAAAAATAATACCATCTACTCTGTCTTCTTTCTGTTCTTCCACAAAACTTCCATGTTAGCGCCGGTGCTTGTGGTCAAGCAATCAGCAAATTTATCACTGTAAGCTCCTCCTCAGTAGTGCCTCTGAGGAGCTGAATCAGACCAAGTTCTGATGATCTCGCTCACACGCTCATGCATACACATACATGCCAATTCTCAAGCTCTCTGGATGTTTCATGCAATGTACGACGATGTGAACCGAACTAGTTCTCCTTGTTATAAAATTTCCAAAAATGGTCGCAGCCAGGAATCTTTTTGATTTCTTAGGCATTTTTTACAAAAACAACATAGACGTGAACCAGTTCACAAGTTTGTCTCTGGGCATATGTTTTTTCTCCGAGATCTTTACACAAAGTATGCTGCATGCCTATTAGCTCACAGATACTGAGATTTACTGTGTGGGTATCGGAGTTTGGCACCAAAAGAAAATTAATTTTCCGATCCTCGACAGGATTGGAACATTTCGGTCGGTACCACAAAAGTACCGAAGTTTGGGACCCAGCCCTATTCGCAAGCCACAAGATTTAGTGAGAGTTACAAGCAAGTCTCTGGAAATGCAATGAGAAGAGTCATACCTAAAACAAAAGGTTTTAAATATCAAGTCCATTCAAGATAGGGCTGGACAATAATTCGATATCAATATATATCGAGATATAATTTTTTTCAATAACGGTGATACGATTTTTAAACACATTTCCGATATTTCGATATACATATATACTGTATCATATAATATACAGTATATGAATAATCAGCCTGTTTTAGTTTAAATGGAAATATATTATTGTTAATAAGCTGAGTCTGAGAGTTTTATTTATTTGATAGTTTATTTCACATTTCTTGTTTGTAAAGGCTAAATACAAATAAAAAGTGAACCTTATTTTTTTTGTACTGTTTTTATTTAAAAAAAAATTATATAATTTTAATAGGAGGAGCCTGGAGGTATTATAGACTTTGCAAATTCAGTTTGCAGACATCCATTGTGTGTGTCCTCGGCAGTTTTTTCCAGAGGCTTTTTAATATTGTCCATATCGATATCGGAATTATATCGTATCGACCAAAATTAAGAAATATATCGTGATATAAATTTTTGCCATATCGTCCAGTCCTAATTCAAGACATGACATAGAACAGCCCAGACTTGCCAGTTTACCAGGCATTACTATTCAGAATGGTGGCTGTTTACTGGGGAAGGTGAACTGAACCATTTACAATGCAGGGTAGGCCAAGCTAGGCGCCACTAGCACGTTACCACGCTAGCACGTTACCAGGCTAGCACGTTACCACGCTAGCACGTTACCACGCTAGCACGTTACCACGCTAGCACGTTACCACGCTAGCACGTTACCACACGCCGGCACTCGCACGCTTGACTCACGTTTCCATTCCTCAATTTGCAGTTCGCGGCTCTCGAAGCTCTGGTCATAGGCATCAGCGTCGGGTTCGTCCTCTGGATCGTGGTACTGGGTGAAGTACGGGTGTGCCAGAGCCTCCGCCGCTGTAATGCGCTTGTCCGTGTCCAAAACCAGCATCTTCTCCAGCAGGTCCACAGCTGCGGGCACACAAAATGTTTGTGGAAACGGAGCACAAAGACATTGGATTTGATGGCTGAAGCTCAGATCCCATTTGAGTGCTTACCCAGGGGATTGGCCCCGATAAACACGTCAGCAAAGTTCCTCTTGGGCATGTAAGGTAGAGAGTTGATGTAATTTCTGGCCTATAATAAAAAACGAGCACAAAAAAGTTCAGAGATGACTAAATCAAGCAAGGACCAAGCACAACTATGCAAACTTTCTAAAAACAGCCAAAAAGCCAATCAATCCCCTATACAATTTCCAGATTTTAGGTTTGGAAACAGTGGTATGCAAGAAGCTCATTTACATAAACACATTTATTTTCTTAACATAATTAAACCACACTGCTCAATGTAGAGTGTATTTGAGGAGCGCAGGGAGGCTTGTGGCCCCCACGTGCTGGGAATCCCCCTGCCCTACACGCTCACTGGCGGTGTAAGCGATTCCCAGGCTTCAGTACAAAATGCAGGCCTCTGAGCAGCACAGCTGAGAGCCAGGAAGTCGTGCTGGTCCTTCACAGTGAAGCAGCAGCAGGCCGAGCAGACAGACTTGTCAGAGAGTGTACAAGGAGGAGAAAGTAAGGGAGTACAAGAGGAAACAGAGATAATGGGGCTCAAAGGAGCAGGAACTCTATCCGACCAAGCTGGGTTTACTGCTGCCATACTGCTGTGCTACTGCATTGGCTGTAAACCAGCAACCCCTGGCTGGGACGAGTTTTCCCAAAGTAAGACATGCACCTCTTGGGAATGAATTAAAAGGTTACCATTGCGCACTGGGGGCCCTCAGAACGATGTCACAAAACTCTGCTACTGTATATCAGGACGGGGAACTTCAGCGCAACCAGTTCCTTAAACTAGAGATGCACCGATACTGATATTCGGATCGGTATCGGCGCCGATCCAGACCTATTTGCACTCACTATAACAAAAGTATAACTGCGCTGACGCCAATGGGAGAAAAACTGTTAAAATTTTAAGCATTCGCCACTGGTGTATACCTGCTTTGAAGATATTCATACTGAACTGCAAATGCCTCAAAAACGCTTAAAACAAACGAGGTGGAACAATACATTATGTATGTTTGTAGTAGCCTAATGAAATATTTTTTGTCATACATTTTTCCATCTGTATTTACTAGCTTAAAAAATTAATATATAAAGTACAACAAACTAAAAAGAGCTCTTGTATCGGAATCTGTATCGGCAGTTGTGTATTGGAATCGGATCGGAACTGAAAAAATGTGGATCGCCCATCTGTTCCTTAAACCCAGTTCATCTTTCATAAAGTGCTTTAAGCTGTCAATATAAAGTTTTAGCAATATGACATCATATGCGACATAATCACTATGGTAACCATCGTTTCGGAGCACCACCTGAGATGGACTTTTCAGCTTTTTCCGATCCCACCCACTGCTCACGATTGGCTGACATGGATATGATATCGTGGGGTCTGTCAGCAGGACTAACCATGCAGTTACCAGCAAGTTTTGCATTGCATCGCACTTTAAATATCGTAAATCGACGTGTCTGTCTATTTGTTACTAATAAACGTCATAGCTGTATAAATGTTTGGCCATGTATATTGCTGGTTTCCCTGTCTGTGCCGCTGCTAATATTAAACCAAAACTGGCTGTTAATGAAGAAAGCAGCTTCCATTTTAAAAGAGCCAACGCAGGGGCCCACGCTGGATGTGAGAGCGGGAACCGCGTCGAGGTGACCTGGCGTGTCAAGGCAGTAGCTTTGGGCTACATACACCAGCAGGATGGGGCAGCTGGGCTAACAGCACCCAAGGATGGGAGCCTGGGGGCAGTGAAGCAGGCGACTGGCTTTGGGGAGGTGCGGGCGGCCGGCGGCACGGACAGGGTGACACGTGGCCCCTGCGGCGTTGAGGGCAGGGTCCTCCTCACCTCGTGGCTCGGCATCCTGCTTATTAGCGAGGCCGGCGGCGTCCCCGTCAGCCGCATTATCTGCTGGAGCTGGTTTATATCTTTGCGTCTCCAGGTCAAGGGGTTACAATACGCAATGTTAAACATGCTGAAGTCCGCACGGGGGGCGTGGCCAGAGCAACCCACCACCTGCCACGGTCCGGGGGTGGGGGTGTAAAAACCACAGGGTCAAATATCAGGGCCAAAGGAGGAGTGACAAGAGTACACCAGCTAGATCAAGATGCAATTAGCATGAGGGAAGAAATGCTTCATTAAGAAATGCTTCATTAAGAAATGCTTCATTAGCATGACTACCTGGAGGAAGGCTGCAGCACAAAAACCGGGCTAATCAGCACCAACACAGAGCATCCGCTGTCCCTACTGACCCAATCCAGTCCAAACACTCAATTTGCCATGTTACCCCTGAGATCTGGGTGCCTGGATTGACCTCCCATCAGAACCCCTTCCCCCCAAAACGTCACTCTCACAGCAACACTTTACAATCGCGTCACAGCACCCAGCCCCATGTGCCACGGACACGACGGAGGAAACTCCATGCAGGAAGACAGAGAAAAGTGGCAGGGAAATGGAAAGCATGCTTGCCAAGCACAAAAGTGAGCAGCCAGCAAGCAGACGGCGGCAGCGGGATTGGGGAGATCCAGTGACAGCGGAACAAAAAAACGTAATGAGGCGAAACTGGACTCACAGAGTCTGAAGATATTTTCATCAAGAGCTCAGGCCCTGGTGTTCCGACGAGCAGCATAATTAGCTTCAACTGATCAATATCTATCAGGACAACATAAAGGAAAATGCACGGGAGGAAATGATGAGGGGAGGGGTTGGGGGGGGGTGGGACACGAACTTGGCGACGCCCTGGACATCAAAGCCATCGGACGAGGGCGGGGCAACACTGATGGATATTATGAATGAGGCAAAGAAAAAGCCATGCGGATGACGAGGGTGCGTGCAAAAAAAATAAAAAATAAGACCTGAAAAATCCCAGAAAAATGCTGCCCAGCTTTTCCAAAAAACGTGCGTGTGCATACGAGTACAACAGCAGGTCCCCGCGGCAACAAGATGGATATCAGGGTTATAAGGGTTAAAAAGACTCTTGGAGGTGCTGAGGGGGGGGGGGGGGGGGAGGTAATGGAGTGGTGCAATGATGAGCAGAACAGCCCAGTCACTGAGCGACGGCAACATCTGCTAATGTAAGGAGCTGGAGACCCTGGACAAAGGGGCCTGGTGGCTCAGGAGGAGGGATACGGGCGTCTACAGAGAGGCCTGCGCTTAAAAAGGCATGGAGATGCACCTTCAGTGGCGGGGGATGTGGGGGAGTGCAGGGGAGGGAGGGGGCACGGCTGTCGTCCGAGCGGACGTGCCAATGGCAGCCAAAGGCTGAGAGCATTAGCAAAGCAGGGTAGAGTCTACACTTTGGTGGGGGGGGGAGGGGGGGGCAAACACGGCCTTCTGAAAGACGACAGCTGACAGTGCAGCCCCTTTGCACGGCCTCGACACCATGCATCGGAAAATAAATTATTAAAAACGGCTGGAGCATTTCAAAACAGTAAACACCGTATGACCCAGAGGCAGGACATAAAGAGAGCTGGTTAGTATGACAGCATTTCTGAGCTGGTGAAGCAGGCGTTATCAGACCCAAGGCGGTGCTGGTGAGTAATGTGCTGGGAGAGGGGTTAGTCAACAAGTAGCCATTAGTAAAAGGGTGGGGGGGTGGAGGGCAGCAGCAGGCACAGGACAGTGAGGTGTAATGCCCTCCTTGGTGACGGCCCCTCACCCCCCTCCCATGAGCAAACATGCACCAGGTCCTGAGGCCAGGTTATTGAAAGCATCAAGCCATAAAGCAAACACCCACATCACATGACAGGGGTGAGCTGAGTCACTTGCCCATGTAACTTTGCAGCCATGAGGAAAAGTAAACACCCGCATCACATGACAGAGGAGAGCAGGCTGCCTCAGCTGCCCCGTAACTCAATAGTACCTTTCCCCCTTAAAAAACATGGGAGAGCAGTGTGACAGAAAACAGGAAATGAGTAGAAAGGATCATTTACATCATCTTCTGGTTCCCGGGGCATTCTGACTCAACTTTTTTGGTGGTTAGGCAATTTCTGATGCTCATTTTTAATATCAATGAATAAATGAATAAGTAATACTGGAATCGTTTTATGAACCCAGTGTAGGAAAAACACAAACTTGTATGGATTTGTACACTGAATGGTCTTAAAATGCTTTGGGTATATGTAAATTGCAAGGTAAAAAACTCCCCAAACCACCTCATATCTGCAAATCTTCCAGCCTGGAACGTCACATGATGCGTGACGTGAACAATGCTGGTGCTCAAGGACTCGCGAGGAGGTGGGTCTGTGCCATTACTGACGGCAGCGGGGGCTGCGGGAGGGATGGGGTGGTTGGGGGGGGCGGGAGGGAATCCAAGCGGCACGCAGTCTGAGAAAGGATACGGTCTGTTCCAGGGAAGAGCGTCCGGCCGGTGAGCAGCTCAGCCATGATGCAGCCCACGGACCAGATATCCACTGCCAGCGGGAGAGGAACAGAAAGCCGTCAGGTCACAGGGCAACACTGCGGCTCCGATCCCAAGCGGCATGTTTACACAGGAGTTCCACGTACGATACCAAAATCAAACAAACAAACCTTCTGCCAGCTTCTGGGCATGAGGTCACTTAACCCCGACCCTGCCAGCACTGCACACTAATCAGATAATACAATGCAGCTATATTCAGATTCAATGTACACAGCACTGGTGTTTACTTAAGCCACAAATCTGCAGAGGCGGATAGTTCAGGTCTAGAAAGTACAAATCCAGACCATGGTTTTGTTTCAACCAAGCAGTTGAGAACCGCCCCCCCCCCACCTGTCATGTTGTAGTGCATCCAGTTCAGCATGATCTCTGGAGCCCGGTACCACCTGGTGGCCACGTAGCCGGTCATCTCGTCGTCAGTGTGTCGAGCCAGACCAAAGTCCAGGATCTGCAGCGGAGGAGAGTAGCACAGATAGGAAAATGAGAAGATGGGGCCAGGCGGTGCCGCTGATAAGGTGCAGTGGAAACGCAGCCCGGTGCCACACTCACCTTCAGCTCACAGTCCTCGTTCACAGCCAGGTTGCTGGGCTTCAGGTCCTGAAAGACGACGGAGATGCAATGTGAGATCAGGCCCCTCCGCCTATCAGAGCCCCGTCACGGCCTTCCGCACCCCTCCCAACCACCACCACCGCGTCAGCTACGCCTGTTAAAAGGCACGTGACTCAGTGGGTTAGGACGCCGTGCGGATGATCAGAAGTTTGTCAGTTCAGATCCTAAATGATTTTACCATTTCACATAACCCCCAAGTGGGACTATCTGACCCTACTTTCTCCAAAGAAAATGCACGTTAAATCTGTTAAATAAGTGTGTCACACATCCATTACATGACGAGGAAAATCAGTTATTAATAACTGCAGAGCGCAGGCAAACCCCACAGCGAGTGAATCAACCCTCAAAAAAGGACTAAAAAAAAAAAAAAAACCTCCTCCGTTTTCTGTGGCTTCCGCCAAAGAAGAAATTATAACAATATATCACCAACTTACTCTGTGAATGATGTCCGCTGAGTGGATGTACTGCAAGGGAGAGAGAGGGCAGATTAAACGCACAGAGCAGATCACTTAGAAAGCGACACAGCATCTGATGTTCGTGTACAAAGCCGGCAGCTAGAGGGGCGAGTGGCAAATGCTGTGGGTGACAGACAGGGGGCGCCATTCCCACACACGCGGCGGGATCTGACACCTTTAATCCCCGCAGTATCTGATAGATTAGGAACTGGACGTGGTCGTCGGTCAGCTTCTGACACTTGACGATGTTGTTCAGATCAGCCCCCATCAGGTGGGTCACCAGGTACCTGCCAGCCAATCAAACGAGGAGACACATGACGTTTCCAGGGGGACAGAATCAAGGGTTTGTACGGCAATTTATCAGACAGCATCATCACACCATTTACAGGTAATACAGTGGCGAGGTAACGGTGAAACATACAGAGCGAGTGACGAGGGGAGGGTTTCACGATAATCAGCAAACGGGGGGGGGGGGCTTAACCAAGGGTAGGGAGTGATTATCAATGTTAAAAAAATATATATATCCATTCATTTCAGATGATCAGATCTACCCTGGTCATAGGCCCTATCCCCAGACTTCTTGTATTAAATTCTGGTATGAATTAAGCAGCAGCAGCCGGTCGGTCAGTGTGAAATTGGGGTTAAAAGCCACGCTCCCCTTAGATGGGATATGGGACCTCATTTGGGTTCCGCATGGGAGGACAGAGAATCCCGCTCAGGCCGTGTTCACCGTGTGACCTTACATTGTGGTACTGGGGTCATTTGCTGCACAGACTCTTTAAAAAGTAACCGTACAGTCCAGGGGTACATTCCGGGGGGAGGGGTGGCAGGAGGCACCCAGTGAGTCAGGGTGGGGGAGATTGCGGGAGCAGCCTCCTGCGGGCCAAGCCCAGCCCTCTCCTGCCGGGATGCATGCACACAGCCTTGGGCGTGGCCGGTATGCTCACCGGCAAGCACCAGTACCGCAAATTTACTGTGGCACGTGCCCATTCCAGATGGTGAAATCCCGGCATGTGAGCATGCGGTCTCGTGTGCAGGTAGATGCGTGTGTCAGGGGCCCCCGCCCTGCGCAGACACCAGCCAGGTAAAACCGGTTCTTCACTGGCCTATCCTACAGGATACCTTGCACTTCCTCCCTGTCCAGATTCCTTTCATTCTAATACAGTGAATTCAGCCGTATTCTCCACCACCCCCCATCTCAAATTCATTACCGTGGGAGGGATGTTCCACGGGCAGATAAGCCAGAACCCCCCCAGCTACCAAGGTCCCAGCCAACCCCCCCCCCCCACACCAGTCCTCCCCTGTGTCTCCTCCTCACCCGCTGTCATAAGAGGATGCCAGCGTTATTCACGACACACCTGCAGGTAATTCTGAGCCTTCATGGAAAGACAGGACGGTGATGTGGTCACCATGGAAACAGGAACCGTGCATAACTTGCTGCCCGGCAACGACTCAGCACGGCATGCTTACATGCATCACATTACAAACCTGCCGCCTATCCCCGGAATCACGGAACACACACACACACACACACACACACACACACACTCTGGGAGGAGGCCAGAATACCAGTCAGACACCCAGACAAACAACCACACCCTCGGGACAGGAATCAGGGCCAGGATACCCTAGAGACAGGGGCCAGCCCTAGAGACGCATCTGGGGAGTGAGGATTCTGCTTTGGAGGATGCTCACTACAAATGTGCAGTCCCTACAGGGCCAGGCTCCAGAGAATGACGGACAGACAGAGACACAGAGACAGGCATTCCTATCATTGTGGCAACTCTCCTACGTAAGAAACCTTAACCTCTAACCAGCCCTAATCTTAACCATAAGTAACCAAACAAAAACACAGGATTTATGGCTATTACAGTTTTTTGATTGTAATCATGCATATTTATTAAATTGAGGCTTATATAGTGGGCACCAGAAAACTAAAAAGTGGGGACATTGGGTCTCCACAGTGCGGTAAATACAGACACACAGACTGACACACACAGACTGACAAACAGAGACACAGGCTTGGAGCAGGAAGTAGCCAGAGTCATCACTCCCCCCCCATATTCTTGCTCCACTGCCCAGAGGCCTCGGCTCTGCAGTCTCCCACCAGGAGACCCCCCTTCCGGCGATTTCCACCCTCTGCCCGCAGAATCTGGCCAGAAGCTCCCTGGCACACTCTCTGCGGTGGCAGTGTGATACTCACACATCACTGAACTCCTCCAGGCTGGTGCTGGGTGTGAAGACGTCCAGCAGGCCAATGACCTGTAACACACAGACGCCGCATGCGTTAATGGCGCCATCAAAGGCCAGAGCGCCGCGTCACACAGCATCACACAGGTCATTTACTTATTTAGTGGCCACCTTTGTCTGTGCCAGAGACGGAAAAAAAAATCTATGCATGTTTTTAAATAATATGCCCATGGTAAATCTGCAGCATTCCTCATCTGAAGCGGCCAGTCTGCATCCCTGGAGAACTTTGGGTTAAAGGCATGACACGACATTTGAACCCAAGGTGTCCCACACAGATCCCCAACCAGCGGAACTCTAGAAAAAATTGAGAGATCACTCAATATTTTTTAAAAATCTGCATCTTTAAATACTGGTTTGATCATGGTTCTGCTGGCAGAAGCGACTTTCTAATGGCAGAGATGACCGTCAACTTATCCAACAGTGCCTCATGAATCGGAGGGTGACATCAAGTGACCTTCAAAAAGAATGGGAAACATTTAAGTGGTGTGAAAGCGCACTGCTGGGACAAAGTTCATAACAGGCTTCGAGAAGCAGGACTGAAGTCTCAAAAAGCAAGGAAGCAGCCCTTCATTAATGAGAAGCAGGGAAGAGCCCTATTGGAGTTTACAAAAAAAAATGTGTATCTTACACAGAAGGAAACCCATAAACTGAGAAATGAAACTAAACATTTTGTTGTGTTCTCTTAATCTTTTCCACAGCTCTGTGTGTGTGTCCGCATGTGTGCGTGTGTCTCTCTCAAAGGAGAACAAGATGGAATATGCAAAAACTACCACATTTGAAAGTACTTGTACAAATGGCAAATAAACCGTCATTTTCATTATCTTGTCATCAGGGAACTGGAAAGTGGGCAAAAGCAGCGCTACACTCTGCAAGCTCCCGCCATTTGGTGTAACTTCCAAACAGAAAACAGGACACTTTGGGTAAGTGATGCACTCACGTCACGTCAATGCGGTCTCACTTTACACTGGACTACCGTGTTTTCACAACATACGCAAATCCACGTTACGGGGCAGAGGTGCTGCGGCGGCATCTACAATCGCGATAAATGTGACTTCGAGCTCCGCTGAGTCGTTCGTGCACAGAGAGCTGCGCTGGGAGATAAAGAGCAGCAGCAGCCAGCAAGACCGTTTCCGACATTCCTGAGAGATCGCGGGATTAGGCGGCAGGCTGCAGGAAAGCTGTGGGTTCGAAACCCAGCAGCACAACTGGGACGCGAGATGGAGAACTTTCCCAAACGCTATATAGCTGGAGCCACATTAACCTCAGAAAAATACATCTAACCACGTAAAAAGTAACAACACTGTTATAAACACATCAGCTAATGAAACGCGGAGGGTAAAAATAGACCCTCCCATTTCAGATTCTCCTGTTTGGCTCTGCTTTGCTATTCAAACGCTCTGCCAGGAAAATGTCTCATCACAAATATGTTTCAGACTGAACACCCCCACAGAGGGAGAGCTTTATGTAAACTGGAATGGGGGGGTGGGGTATTTGGACAATCCCAGCCTGCGGTTTCCACCCAAGCGTCGAGGTCATCTCCTGTGTGTGGGAATGATTATAAAACGACCGATCGAGGCGAACTCCGTGTTCTGCTGAAAACCGTCCCTTGAAAAAGTGACTATGTGTATGTGTGTGGAGGGGGGGGGGGGCTCAGTGAGCAGTTCTGCATGCAGGCACCCCTGTTCGACCTTGCCAGACAGTGCGCTGGGTACAGTGATGCCATCCCTTGTTACATGGCGCTGGGGAAGTTAGAAGAGGAACTGTTTGTGGGGGGAAATTGCAGAGGAGACACAGTCACCAACTTGCCCCCTTGTGCTCACCATCTCCCCAAAACATAATCCTAACCAGACATTTTACATGAATCTGGTTCTAGAATTAAAGAAAAAAGTGATGAAGACTGTTAGGATATAACAACCTGGTGAGTAAATATGATGATGGAATGATGTGAAGCGTGACTGTGGACCCTTTGCAATCCATCTAAGCACAACAACAAAAGATCAAAGGGAAAAGCCTCTAGGAGAATCTTGGGCAGAGTATTTCCCTCAAGTGCCACCAGGGGCGCAATTCAGCACAGGAGTTGGTAGAGAGAAGAGTGTGAGGTCATACGCAGTCATGTGACGCGGGCCTCGACTCACATTTTCGTGCTTCATGTGCTTGAGGAGCCGCAACTCGCGATAGGTCCGCTTGGCGTGGATGATAGACTGGAAGGGGCGGGACAGCTTCTTCACAGCGACTTTCAGGCTCATCTTCTCGTCATAGGCTGAGCTGGAGGAAAGGGGGGGGGGGGTGCGGTCATTACAGGTCGAGCTGGCCGGAGGAGGTATGTTTAAAAAAGTCCCTGGCTCACTTTGTGCTATGCCTCAGCGTTTTAGCAAACAAACCAACCAGCCGCAAAGGTTGGAAATAGCAGACCGGCGACAATTTTACAGGGTCACCCAGACCACCCTGCACACCAGACCACAGAACTTCCGGGGAAAGCCCCTTAACAGACGCCTTTCGGGAGGCACCACACTAATTTCGGAAGCGCACTGTGAGGAAACACTTCAAATAACTCTGAGACGACATCACCGGCCTGATGCACAAAAGCAACAGGGGGAGAAAAAAAATCTGCGGAGACGGCAAGTCCTGCATCCTGAGAGCAAAGCTCCACGACCAGGGCAGAGTCAGGGATGATGGGGGAGGCTGTTTTTCCCCCAGACGTCTCTCACCAAAGACTGCCGGCGACCTGAACAGACGGCCGTGCGACTTGAAGGTATAGCAATGGTGAGACGGGGACGGCAGAAAGTCATTTTCGCAAGGGTGACAAGTTCAGACATCTTTGTTTAAGTATTTAACAGGCTGCTGCGCTCAGCCATCTAATTCAGGCCAGCGACTGGCAGCTAATTTAGCCTCAGATGGGTTATACTGATACTGGCAGACCAATTTCTTTTTGTGTCACATGACATTCCCAGAAAGCATGAAAAGGACGCCTTGGGCGGAGCCTCTGAGTAAACAACGGATAGCCTCTGAAAGACGGCCAGCCCTCGCTGCCGGCATCCCAACCGGAGTGAAAGTGACATAAACCCAGATGGGGCACCCACATCTTCAGGAGTCACGACCCTCACAAGGGAGTGGGCTCTGATCCAGCAGGAGTGTAACGAGCAACCGGGGCCCCTGGCGCAAGAGAGCAGGGGGCAGTAACCGGGGCCCCTGGCGCAAGAGAGCAGGGGGCAGTAACCGGGGCCCCTGGCACAAGAGAGCAGGGGGCAGTAACCGGGGCCCCTGGCACAAGAGAGCAGGGGGCAGTAACCGGGGCCCCTGGCACAAGAGAGCAGGGAGAACAACCCTCCAAACCCAGTCGCTTGCGACAGCTCCCATGCCACAGGCCTAAACACCCAAAGCCTGCAGGTGCCCACGTCTCACAAAGGCGCTGCAGTGTGATACCTGTCAGGGCACGTACACGGAGTTCAGGGCTGGATTACTGCAGCCTGAATCACACAGCAAAAACTTGACAACTTGGCCAGTGCCCTGGAGGAGTGACAGACAGCCCAAGCCAAAGGCAAGCAGAGGAAAACAGGTGAACGGCACCTGAACTGCACAGCCGGCTGGCCCCATCACCCGATACACGGAACAGAAGCATATCCTGACACTGACTGAGTCTGTGTGCTCACTCACTAGGAACACAAAGCCATGGGAAACAGACGTCAAAAGCTAATCCAACCAGAAATTTCATACTTGGCAAAAATTGATTATTAAAATGCCTTTTTAATGTTAACAGAGACAACACTGTGCCTTGAAGAAAAAACAGACTGCCCTTACTCTCTTCTGAAAATCCTGAATTATTCAACTTTAAATGCAGAGTGATGAAGGACACTAAGCTTAAGAGTATTACCATTACTGAGGCATGCGTCTGGATTGGGGGGGAGGGGCTCATTTGTGATCCATTTTTCGATATTCATACACGCAGAGTCCTGACTGAGATTTAATGTCCAAAGATATCAGCCAAGATACCTTGGAAATTCCATAGATATTTACTGAGGAACCTTCAAATGAAGCGCGAATCAAAAACAAAACTGCGACGATAGGGAGGGGCGAAGCCGAAGGAGAGGCAATACAATGCAGAGTATTTGAGGGCAGGAGGTGCAGTGATTAAATTGTACAGTGCCCAACAGAGCACAAACACAGCTACATTAGGGGAGCAGCCGCTGTAAATGCTTATTTCAGTAAACAACACGCAGCTCAGCTCTAAAATGCTCTTACCAAATGATTTATAGCACAGCGGAAAGAAGGAAACACACTACTTTACACTGACAGAAAAAAATGAATTTATGCCTCCTTGCAACCTCACCAAGAGCCGACATGACCTTCCCGGCTGGAATCTCACCGGCAAAGACGGGCCGCGGACTTTGGTATGACAGAAAGAGGCCGGAGCATTATCAGTTCGGGAATGTCCCGGAAACATGCCGCTGAAGGAACACCGAGGCCAGGTCCCAAAGGGGCCATTTAAAATGGGACGCTTTTCTCCACAAAAATAAAAGTGGGTTAAGAGCTTTGCTCGGGGGGTGGGGGCGCAATGGTGAAACCACTCTGCCCCCCCCCCCCCGGTATTTGATAGAGATGCACCGATCCGATATTTGGATTGGTATCGGCGCCGATCCAGACCTATTTGATGGATCGGGTCAGCCATGCTTATACTTACTTATTTAGTTTTTGGCAATCAATCGCACGACAGCTCTTTCCCATTTTACATGTGTTTTTCGCGGCATTCAAATCAAACGCTATCGCTGCCCCTCAGTCTTTTTTGCCACTCAGTGGGTGTGAGTACAGTGACGTCCGCCTGCTATGATGTCATGCGCATACCCTTCACAGTACGAGGAGCGTAAGATAAGACGTGACGATCTGGGACTATTATACACTTTTAACAGAAAAAAGTATCACAGCGATTTGCAATCTTTGTAAAATAAAGTTTTGAGGTGGGAATAGTGTTTAATGGACAATACCATTTAACAAAGCGCACACAACTGCTAGACAAAACAAAGCAATGGATGATTTGGGAGTCGCTAACTTGGACTGTTTTGCGAACTCGCTGCAGCTTGTGATACAAGAGGGGCTGCCATCGCAACAAAAGTGTAACTGAGCTGACGCCAATGGGAGAAAAATTGTGTTAAAATTTTAAGCATTCGCCACTTGTGTATACCTGCTTTGAAGATATTCATACTGAACTGCAAATGCCTCAAAAACGCTTCAAACAAGACGTACAAACGAGGTGGAACAACAGCTACATTATGTATGCTTGTAGTAGCCTAATTAAATATTTTTTGTCATTCATTCTTTCTATCTTTATTTACTAGCTCGAAAAAATAATATATAAAGTATTACAAAGTAAAAAGAGCTCTTATATCGGAATCTGTATCGGTATTGGCAGTTGTGTATCGGAATCGGATTGGAACTGAAAAAATGTGGATCGCCCATCTCTAGTATTTGAACCTGGAAACTTTCGATTACAACACCATAACCCGTTGAGCCACACAGCAGCCCCCCTCCTCAAAAAGCTTGACTGACGATCCCACAATGACAACAAAAGGGAAAGCGGAAGAATGTCCTGGGATCTCCTGTGGGAGAAGGTGGCTTGATGTCCCTTCAGAAAGCCTGCAAGATGCAAACGCGCACGTACGGTAAAAAATACTGTAGGTGGTCAAGGCTGGACAGCGTGACGCCGTTGTCACAACTTGCGTAAAACACAGAACCCAACAGATGCTGCGCTTACCAACTGGTTGTGATGTATCTTCCACTGAACGCTAGCAGCATGTGTGGTGGAAACACTGAGGTGGAACAAACCTCCACTCACAGCTTCCCGTTGAAAAATAGTTCAGGATGGTTTAGGGGAAAGGGGAAGTCATCAACTAAACGCCGGATGGGACCCAAGGGAAGGAAAACAGATACAGAACAAGCGATCCAATTAGGCGGCAAAGCTGGTAAGCACCAGGGTGGATACGAAACTCAGCCCGGCTAATAAGGTTGCCTAGCACGATATTACAGCCCTTTCATTACCCTATATTTGCTTCACCGGTTGAGTTAAAACAGAGAAAGGAAATTAGTAGGAGAATCATTAACATTATGGCGTCTCCGAGATCGCCGGCTGTGGCCGACTGCACTCTCAAAATAACTGGCGAGTGTTTTAAAGTCAGAGCTTGTCTTTCCAGGAAACTGCTTGAAGGACACCCACCTGTGGCACCCAGGATACTAAATGGCTCCTAGGATGTGTTAGGATATGTATAAGGAAGCATGGCTGAAGACTCCCTCAGCCTACAAAGGCTAAGCCCCACCCCACAAAGAGAGATTAAACTCCCAACAGTATGAGTCACCTACAGCCAACGCTGCAAACTCCCCACCACCGTTTGGACGGGACAAGGCAGAACTCACTGCACCCACTACCAGCATGGTTTTCCCGCTGTGATATTTATGATGCCTGCCTCCCTCGCTAAACAAGAGGGAGTGCTTTGCTTGACATTGGCAAACATGCTGCACAGATTCAAGACTGCGTGCTTAATATGACCACTCGCGACCACTGCTTAGCTACCATTACACCCGGACCTACGAGCCTCGAGACACAGCCGGAAAGTTGGTATTTTCCCCCAGAGAGAGTCTGCAAACTATTACCAGGAAACAGAGATCCATCAGACCAGTTTAGACCAAGCATTCAGAGGGAGAAGCAGCTGATTAGACTGTGCTTAGTGTGCAGCATGGTCAGAGTGCAGTATTGAAGAACTGTCCAGGAGGTTATAAAAGACACACCAGTCTGCCACTGCAGTGCTCTATCCCATGCTCGTCTCTATAACTGCCTCTGTAACACTGAACAAACAAGATACTCCCTCAATGGGGACAAGGGGGATCTGCCCCTAGATCATGAGGAATGAACAGATTGGAGGAGGGGGAGGGGGATTATTCAAAAGATCCATAGCATTTTGTGCTACAATTCACATCTCAAATCTCACAACGGGCTCTTGCACAAATTGTTCTCAGAAAAAGTCCCACTTTCAGAAGAACAGAAGAAAGGGAACCGATCTGTCATATAAAAATGGATTCTGGCTGTGTCGCAATTGCTGCCTTGTGTTTACGAGAAGGACAGGGCTCCCCTTTTCCTCTGTGAGTGAGAAACACAAACGTTCACCCATGCAATCAGTGCTTTCTTGGGAAACTCTCTAAACTGCCAAGATTCATAGGAAAAAGCCCCCAAATCTTTGCAAAATGCATGTCATTAAAAGAGCATGACTAAAGAAGGCGGTCCTGTAAGCTACCTAAATGTGAAGCAATGATTCATTGCGGGCAAACTGGGGTTACATCATTGTGCAGTCTTACATCAACACATGCTTACGGCATGCACAATAAGGACGGGCTCCGTTTACAAAGCAGCCATATATCTTGTTACGGTGGAAAATAATAAAATGCACCGAGGAAACGACTAACGTAGGCTTATCAAAGGTGAACACGAAAGGACAAGTGTTGAGGAAAAGGAGTGTTGAGAAACAACACTGACTAAATAAACACAGACGATGCCTTACTTGTTATGTCTAATTATAGACCTTTGAGAAATCTGGTAGGAATATATATTTTTATCTATTTTCTAAATCAATGCATCCACTGTGACAAATCAGGCAACTCAAAAACAAGAAGTGATATCTTTAACCGCCACTTGACATTTTGAAAAGAAAACCTCACCACCGATTAAGACTAATTCCCCAACAGACATTTTATACTGTTCACTTTGGAACTAAAAAAGCTTTACTCGAAACGGACATTTCCAAACGGGAAAGCGTATTCCTGTGCAGATAAGCATGAAATCGTCAGTTAGCGGGACAAAACGGAACATTCTGTCCCGTAAATGGCACCAATAGCAGGCGACATGGGGCACTTGAGCTCAGCCTCAGGCAAAGATCGCGGCCAGTCCCAATGTCCAAACGCCCCAGTAAAGCACCATTTTCATATCCTTGCTCCTAAAAATACTGCCTCCAAGTATGTTTATTTGCAATTAGCTTCCTGCTTTCTCTGCGTCGAGCAGGGGCTTAATCACATGTCTGCCCAGAAACAAAGCTAACAGCGCAACCAAGCTCCGGTAAAAGTCAGTGAGCTCAATAATAAGAAAACTTTAATCCCTATACCTATAAACACTAGTATAGTACGCGCAAGAAAAAAAGCAAACAGGGAGATCGGAAGTAACAACTAATCGAACGAGTGAGCTTGTCGGAAGCGACACTATATCACATTGCGATGCAACTAGTTCGGTTCAAGTGGTTCAAGCAACCTGTTAACAAAACACCAATAAACAATGAACTTAACTAGCCGAGTTTATAACGATGACAAGCTGACTGCCCTCCACGCCGACGCGGGCCTGCATTTACTATTTAGAGTTTTTTTTTAATCTAAGTGCAATTCAGGCCCGCGGTTTACACTTCATTTTCACTTTGCTCCGCGACAATTCTGCAATCGTGTTACATTAAATGTAAAAGTGAGTGCATTACCATACAGATCCATAAGCACCAGAACCGACTGGGGACAGATTCTGGTAGCGCTCCGGAACCTCCCATTCGGTTTTGTTGAGATCCTGTCGGTAGAAAGTGGGTCTCTCTTTCTGCGACATTCCTGCAGAAGACTCAGCCCCACGACAACAGCAGGCGAACTTTAACTTCTGAGATCCCTTAAATCGAGCACACTACTTCTGCACACGAGCACGCAAAATAGTGCAAAAAAAAGTTCACCGACAAGACAAAGCGGAAAACTTTATATCGCGGGCTAATCGAACGTGACACAGTTTTAATAGGTACAGCCGACTATCTGCCGGCAAATGTGCGAGCAGATCCCCGATCAAGCCACATCCAGCGTGAATCCCCTGATGCGGAATCAGTCCTGCATGGCGTGTCCGGATCGTCACCGCGCGCTCCAAGCATCACGTCTCGCGCGAGCTGCACGCGATTAAACGTGACCTAGTCCGGCTGGGGAGTCTTCGTCGTCCACTTCCTATGAAGAACTTTTTGGTTATGAACACTAGTAATGCAATAAATTATCCCCCACACATGAGAATATTAAATCAGTTTATATGTACAAGAGAAATTTGATGCTCAAGCGATTGTCACATTTAAATAATCAGGTTTGAAAATCTAGTGGTATGGGGGCAACTTTTGATTGTGTCTAAAAAAAGAACTAGAATACCTTGCAACCGAACATAAAATAAAATGAGATCACGCTGGGGATGCAACTCTCCCTGAACACTTTCTGTAGCCCATACATTTGGTCACACCAGATTCTCTCGTCCAGCAAATCAATGGAACACTAAAAAATCTATAGATGATTATTATTTTTCTTCAGTCATCGGTTAAACTTGGGAACTTTTTAAAATATCACTGAGTTGCATTTGACTATATATACATATAACGTAGTATAACAATTACTGTGAATCTTAAGGATAAAAAACAACGGTTATCGATAAAGTATGAAGTCCGTGGTTTGTATTGCATCTTGCAGCCCAAGTCGGCGTGGTAAGAATGCACTTTAAAGCAGGCTTTAAACGCCTAAAACGCTTCAAAAATACATAAGATGCATGCGCTTCAACTATCTCTTTCAATAGGCCTATATTCTGCACAACACAGAACAAGTGGATAGTAGGTCTAAATTTGCATTTGCCAATTTACTTCAATTTTATTTTAGTGCATTTCATTTAATCGTATCGCAAGTGCTTTTTTATTGTTTCTAAAGTCGGAAATTGCCCTCCAGCATTTTTAAACAAGAACCTGCAAGATGTACTACAGAGAGTAACCTCAGCTGCAGCTGAGGCAGACCTCGACATCATATAACATTCAGATCTTTACTGTCACTGACTTCGCATAAAGCACTGAAATCTCATTTAGCAGCTCACCAATCAGCAGCACAGAATATACAATATATACAGACAAAGACAATATATAGAACTCGCACGCAAAGAGGTACAAATAGCAACATGAATCATGATTGAATACACCGATCCCATTGCGCATTGGCAGCGTTGCCAACTCACGCGTTGGGCGTGACACGATTTCAAACTCACATAAGCAATCTTACGGCAAATCTACATTATTCCATTATAATACCAAAATTAGCTACATCAAAAGCTTTGGGGTAGTTTGCAAACCTCACATACTATTTACAAGGTAATAAACCTGTTACATAGATGTAATTGCCTATGCATGTGTGTGCAGACTTGTCTCGAATTGAAAATCTCTCTCCGGCCAGTTGGCCACCGTGCATTAGTGTGGGAAGGTATATCATTTACAAAGAGGTTTTTGCGGCATGGGGAGGGGGTTAAGACAGGACAGTCTGGCAACAGCTGTGGGGAAAAAACTGTTTTTTAGCCTTGCTGTGCGGGTGCGGGTGGACTTGTAGCGTGATGAATCTTTGGTTGCCGATTACCTTCTGGAATCAGTGGCTGGCGTTAATTTCTTCCAGATATGTCTACATTTCAATTTTATTTACAATCACTGTAATTACTTTTGATCTCCAAATGGAACTGGCTAACAATCTATATCACTAAGTTCGTTCTCCCTTATGCATGAAAGCCACTGCAAAATATGAGTTATAGTGGGATCTAATGTGATTTTCTGTACAATACTAATATATGTTCACCTTTCAAAAGTAAAGCGATTTCAAATGTAGATATTTAATGAAAAAATGTGCCAGAAATTCACTGCCAGTGAAGATAACATGAAATTAATTATATTAGCCTATTGCTTTAAGATATAGACCCACATGATGAAAACGTATAAAGTTTTTTTCTGGATACATCAACCTATTTCAACCGTAAACAGTTTATACGGTACGGCTGCCAATCAAGGTAAAAGCAGAGGTATGTTGAAAAGTCGTATAAAATTACAGTTTTATAGGACTATTTATAATGCTATTCTTCATTTTCTCAGAATGATTTTTTTTTACAAGTGAATCTCAATTTTTCATAATCATCTAGAGGAAATATCTAAAGTTGTCGAAAAACGGAAGGTAGCTTCATAAAACACGGATTGCTGGCCCCCTCCCGCGTCTAAAAGTTGTTACTGCAAAATATTTTCTTGCTAAGGAGGCAGTTTCTTTTTGTTCTACTAATTCAGTAATTCGGAGTATGGGGGTTACTTCACGGATGGACTGGGATTAAAAATCGACCCAGGGTTCCTGCCCTGACAGGCCTGTAGCTGACACTTAAACTAATATAATCTTGGAATGTGGTATTTATTGTTTTGTATAAGGTAATTTTATATTTGCACGTTTTCTCTGCTTTTAAATTGAAAGTGCCTGCAAGGAATACATCACTTTTATTTTGATACTTCCTATTAATCAATAAATCACCCATAGGCGGATAAATTGATTTATTGTGGCGTGACTAGAGACGAGGCTGAAGTTGGCTCCTTATTCGGTTTTTCCGGTCCACCTTAAATGCTGCGCAGCCGAATTTCGCCTTACGCAATTTCGCCTATAGGGGGCTCATTTAGCGAAGCTTACCTTCAGAACTTAATTTGGTTCTCGATTCGTAGTTATTGAACACGATTCTACTGACTTGTTACCACTTTGAGGAAAGTACATATTTGGGCAGTTTCAGTAGTAGTATGTGTGTATTTTATCAGAAAATGAGACAAACGCAAACGTCTTTCCATTCCCAATCAGGCCCGGAAATATGCCCCATCAGGCTTCTCAGTACACGTCAGGTATCCCGCTATATAGAAAAAAGTGACATTGTCCTGGCCCAGACTGATTTAATGCTTTAAAAATCAGATGCAAACATGGCATGTCATACATAGTGCACAAAGGTGTGAATGCGAAGCCAGGTTTCTAAGCCCATTTTAATACCATAAACCTCTCTGTGCCGGGCAAATATCAACTTCTCAGTAGACGTCAGGTATCCCACTATATCCTCCTGAGACCCAAAGAAAAAAGTGTCCTTCAATTGTAGGTTATTTGTCTTTGGAGGAAATAAGACATCTTACAATTTAGATTTTTTCAAATTTATTCTTATTTTAATTTCACAGCATGTCCTCTTTAGTGCACAACAAGAATAAATACGTTTCCCGACATCAGTGAAAAATTAAATGCAAAGATACAATGTCCACTACAATGGACATAAATGAATAGGTCGGGTCTCAGGAGGGTAAAGTGACATTGTCCTGACCCAGACTGATTTAATGCTTTAAAAATCTGATGGAAACAAGGTCATATATATGGATATGTGTATGTATGAAACAGATAATGTTTTCTGGGAAAAAAAAGTATGACGTTTGTTTTATTGTTTGATTATATACCTCAGTGCATGTTTGTTACATCCATTAAGAACATTCATATTTTATGGCATAGACCCCATATTTTAGGCACTGCAAATAACCTTCATGTTAAAATGAAAATGGATGTGAACTGCTAAGGATGGAAGCATTGGATTGCACCTTTTAAGACAAAGGGTTGTGTAGCATCCCTTGTCATCGATAATACAAAGAAGTGAGTTTCTGACGGGTGCAGCATTTTATTGAGTCTTCACAGGAAGTATTTAGGGCCATCCTGACCGCCGTATCATGAGCACCGTGAAAACTCGCTCCGCTTGCCAAAGGGGTGCAAAAAACTGCCACTCTGAAAAATTAAAACTTGCTCACTCTCACATGGAGCGCTGCTAGCTCGTTGAACAAACGTGTCTGAGCTACAACACAGAAACCGCTCTGCCTTCGGACGCACGTAGGAAACAAATTACCTAACTAGATTCTGGGGCACGTAACTACGTCAAGACGTCAGTGTCAGACAGAGGAAATTAAAGGAACAGCGGTCATTTACACTCCCACCAAATCATATTAAGACAAACAGAAACTTAATGAGTCACATATGATTTCAAGACCATAACAAAAGACCGCTTAAACAAGAGTTACTTGCACAAATACAAATTAGGTGACCCTTACACTTTTTATAAACTCATGTGCCCTATATTAGTGTGTCCTGGGGACAGCTTGTTATTCACCCTTGGTTTCACCCTTGGTTCACCCTTGAGCCTTGACTCTGCGAACCAAACCATCCTTTCCTTCTGTGGTTTCGACCACATGTCCCAGTTGCCACTGACACCTTGACAGCATGTCCTCCTTGATGATAACTATGTCATTTACTTTCAGATTACGTCACTGTGTGTGCCACTTCTGCCTTGTGAAGGCATTCATGAGGTATTCTCTCTTCCACGCCATCTTTTTACTGCATATACATCTTCCTTGACAAACTTCCTAGGTGGTGGAAGTGCCACTTTGGATTTTGTCAAAATGAGATGGTTTGGAGTCAGAGGTTCAGGCGCTTTAGGGTCATTGATTCCATTAACAGCTAAAGGATGACTATTAACAATAGCCATAGCTTCATAAAACAATGTTCTCAGGGAAGCATCATCCAATCTACCTGAACACTGGGCAATTGTAGCATTCAACACATTGCTAGTGGTCCTAATTTGACGCTCACAAACGCCGCCTGCATGACTTGCAGAAGGAGCGTTAACAATGAACTCACATTGTTTGTTCGCTAGAAATGCCTCCAGTACTTGACTATCACACTGCTTTAAAGCTTCCTTGAATTCATTTCTAGCTCCTATAAAATTGGTGCCCTGATCGCAGTGTAGCTGACGGACGGCCCCTCTTAAGCTAATAAAGCATCTCAGAGCATTGATAAAGACATCTGTGGATAAGTCTTCAAGCATCTCGATATGGACTGCACGTGAAGACAAACATGTGAAGATGAGCCCATACCTTTTGTACTCTTTCGCCCTCGTTTAGTAACAAATGGTCCGAAACAGTCCATTCCACAGTACGTGAAAGGGGGTGATTCCTCGACTCGTTCTTCGGGGAGATCTGACATGTGCTGTTCCTCTGTGGGACGCTGGAGCTTTCGACACTGCACACATTTATGTATCAGTCTAGCAACTGCTTTGCTCCCACCAAGCACTCAAAAACC